GAGAGAGAGAAGAGAGAGAGAGAGAGAGAGAGAGAGAGAGAGAGAGAAGGAGAGGAGAGAGAGAGAGAGAGAGAGAGAGAGAGAGAGAGGAAAGAGAGAAGAGAGAGAGAGAAGGACGGAAAGAGAGAGAGAGGGGGGGAAGGAGGGAGGGAAAGAGGGAGATAGGGAAATGAAGAGGGAGAGTGGAGAGAGGGAGAGAGAGAGAGAGAGAGAGAGAGAGAGAGAGAGAAAGGAAGGAGTTTCGACTGCGTTTCAAGGTAGTGGGGACGAAGAACAGCCTTGTGAATACGTGTGTGTGTTGGTGTGTTTAGTGTGTTTGTGTGTGTTGTGTTAGTGTTTGTGTGTATGTTTATGTGTGTGTTTTTTGTATATTTGTGTGCTTAAGTGTGCATGCCAGTGTTTGCATGTATATATATGTGTGTGTGTGTGCGTGTGTGTTTGTGTGTGTGTTTGTATGTTTGTGTGTGTTTGTAGAGAGAGAGAGAGAGAGAGAGAGAGAGAAGAGAGAGAGAGAGAGAGAGAGAGAGAGAGAGAGAGAGAGAGAGAGAGAGAGAGAGAGAGAGAGGGGCGGCGGGGGCGGGGAGAGAGAAGGACGGAAAGAGAAGAGAGGGGGGGAAGGAGGGAAAGGAAAGGAAAGAGGGAGATAGGGAAATGAAGAGGGAGAGTGGGAGAGAGGGAGAGAAAGAGAGAGAGAGAGAAAGGAAGGAGGGCAAAAGAGAAAGAGAGAGGGAGAAAGAAAGAAGGAAAGCGAGAGAGAGAGAGAGAGAAGAGAGAGAGAGAGAGAGAGAAGAGAGAGAGAGAGAGAGAGAGAGAGAGAGAGAGAGAGAGAGAGAGAGAGAAAGTACCATTGTGAGTGCCCTCCTAGTGCGTGCATCTGCATGCGTACAGTTTATGTTTGCGGGTGCAGTACAATAGTGTTTTTTGCGTTTGAGAAAAAGAAAACTACTTTCCTGTGTGTGTGTGTGTGTGTGTGTGTGTGTGTGTGTGTGTGTGTGTGTGTGTGTGTGTGTGTGTGTGTGTGTGTGTGGGATCTCTATAATTTGTGAATATTACAGATATCCGTATAGCTTATCTATCTTTATGATCCTCATTATGCGAACATTTACAAGCCTGTGTGTGGACGCCTTAATGTCTCTGTATGTGTGTACGGGCGTTAGTGTGCGTGTGTGTGTGTTCCTCTCCCCTATCGGTCGGACACAGCGAGTGACGGCTCTCATTACTGCTGCAGCTGACTGACATCGAATGTGACAGTATCATTTGTGAAGCTAAATAATGTCGTCACAGCAGGCTCCGCTGTTTGGCGACTCGACTTTCAGAGCATAATGACTATTAGTTCCCCGAGGCGAGCGTCCGTAGGTTAGGTGGGAAGATTATGTGTGAATAAGTCAGGGTGGGTTATCGTGGTTATGGGCGAAGGGGTAAATAGATTCACATGCGCACGCACACACACACACACATACACACACATATATGTGTGTGTATGCATGTATGTTTACATATCTTATAAATTTGCATATATATTTACATGCACACATACATATATATGTGTGTGTATATTATATATATATATATATATATATTATATATATATATATATATATATATATATATTATATATATATATATGTGTGTGTGTGTGTGTGTGTTGTGTGTGTGTGTGTATTATATATATATATATATATATATATATATATATATATATATATATATATATATATATGTGTGTGTGTGTGTGTGTGTGTGTGTGTGTGTGTGTGTGTGTGTGTGTGTTATATATACATATGCATGAAAGTCTTTTATATATAAGGCCACACTAATTGTATTTGTTGCTTCTCGGATTTTTTAAGAAGAAAATTGGAGCGACAGGGCGAAAAAAAGGCAAAAAAAGGTCTGGGGTGAAAATATAAGGATTTCAGAACATAGAGAATAACTGGATTATTCAGGTTTTTAGCTTTTCAAGGCGCGCTTTATGTAATGAATTCCGCCCTTTCATCTATTACAACAATTCCGAATATAGAACATTATGTTTGAATTTACGCGTGTTGCATTTACTACTTTTGTTATAATTTTTGTTTTGTATGATGTCAATCTCAAGTTTAATAAGCAAGCAACATTTCTCCAAAATGCAAATATATATGTGTGTGTGTTTGTGTGTGTGTAAATAAATACCTGGCGAATCAGACAAGCAACAAATAATATATGTATACATATATTTATGTATATACATACACACACACACACACACACACAAATATATATATGTATATATAATATATATACATTATATATAATATATATATATATATATATATATATATATATGTGTGTGTGTGTGTGTGTGTGTGTGTGTGTGTGTGTGTGTGTGTGTGTGTTGTGTATGTGTATGTATTAATCTTGTCAACATCAATCTTTATACAGGGCGGCATAACCTAAAGGTCTTAGGGCTCATGGTGTGGATTGAATTCATGTCTCAGTTGAGTGTGTGTCTAAGCTACAATGGTCCTAAAAGTATTTTAACCCATGACTTTTTTCTATAAACAAGACAAGGGGCAGATCAAGTAAATCTAGCAATAAACATTTAAAGAATGAAAAAAGGAATGCTCTCTGCTGTTAACTTAATTCATGTTTAAGGTTAACTCTACACCTTACCTTTCCTACTAATTATAGGTCAATAATCATTATTACACCCAAAATAAAATCAGACACGAGATGGGATCCAGACAGTCACCACCATTCTACCAGTATTCTTCCGTTATTTTCTTGTACATAAGGTAATCGATCCCTCCCTTTTAATCCTCGTGATTTTCCTCTCATACACTTTGCTCTTATATATATATATATATATATATATATATATATATATATTATATATATATATATATATATTATATATATAATATAAAATTACTTCCGTTGACTTCGTTGACTTCGATGACTTCCGTTGCTGTATCTAGCCCCCCCCCCCAAAGAAAAATAAATAAATAAATAAAATAATAATAATAATAAAAAATAACTAAATATATAACCATTTCCTAACATTATCTCTGTGTTTGGGGCGAGAGCAGGAGCGGACGGAATGTTTAAAAAGGGAGGAGAAGAAGGGAAGGGAGATTAAGTGGAACAAATAATAAAAAAGGAAAGAAAAGAAGGGAAGTTTAGGGGAATAAATACTTTTTGAAAAGGAGAGAGAGAAGAAAGGAGGTAAAGTCGAATAAATGATAAACAAGGGGAGTGAAAGGAGGGGAGGTTAAATAGATTAAAAATTATCCATTTATTAATATCACAGTTCAACACACAGGGATTCCACTGTCATGCTAGTTCACTTAACAAACATTACAAACATTCAATTTTTCGGGTGAAACAAGATTTCCAATACCCAGCACATGCATAACTATGTTTGGAGCCGATCTGACAAGACTATCAATATCCCCCTTATCACTTTCCCCCATAGAAATGTTAATGTTAAATCAAACCACATAGATAATCATCATAATTTACTCTACTTGTTGTAATACTAAATTTTGCTCTATTGATATGCGTCAAAAATAAAAATACGTTAAAAAAACGTTTCCAATAGAGTCCATACATCTTTACAATTATAAACAGCGCACCTTTTAAATGTCGAACCAAGAACGATCTCGACGTTATATATAATATATATATATATATATATATATATATATATATATATATAATATATATAATATATATATATATATTTATATATGCTTGTATATAAGTATATAAGTATGTGTGTATGTATGAATGCATGTAATTATGTATGTATGCATGTATGTTTCTATATATGCATGTATGTATGCATGAATGCATGCATGTATGATTGTAGTATGTATTTGTGTGTACATTTATGCATATGTGTATGTATGTATACATGTGTATGTATTTATGTGTGTATGCATGCATATGTGTATGTATGTACGCATGTACATATGTATGTATGCATATATGTGTATGTATAAATGCATTTATTTATTTGTCTATATACGTATATATATTATATATATATATATATATATATATATATATATAATATATATATATATATATATATATATATATATATATAATATATATATTATATATATATATATATATATATATATATAAGTATGTATACAGTACATATATATAGTGTACATGTATGTGTAGGTGTGTGTATATATACGCAGATGTGTATTCTGTTTTATCTTCTTCAGCTCTTTTATTTCTTTAAACTCTTTAAATTTCCTTTCCATTTCCTCTCTTCCTCCCCGGTGCCCCTCCCCCCTTCCCTTTTCCTTCATCCCTTCTCTTCCTGCATTGATCTGGAATTCTCGGCCGGGGCAAAGGTGACCGGATATTGAGGACCAGCTGGATAAATACGCTTTTCTAATCTCAACTTTTCTTTTTTTTCTGTGATCAAGTTTTTTTTTCTATGTAGCTACTGCAATGTATTTATTTCAAATATTAGGAACTACAAGGTCTGAAGTGTGATTTAGTGTGTGTGTGTGTGTGTGTGTGTGTGTGTGTGTGTGTGTGTGTGTGTGTGTGTGTGTGTGTGTGTGTGTGTGTGTGTGTGTGTGTGTGTGTGTGTGTGTGTGTAAACAAATAAATATGCAGATGATTATAACCAGGTGTCTGCTTGTTTTTTTCACGATTATGAGTTAGAATTAAGAATGATAAGACTATTTATAAAACCAAACCTAATAACTAAAATGAAATTTAAAAAATATGTATAGAATAACTTTCTTCAATCTGCCTCATATGACATTCAACTTATCCATTATTTTTTAAATTAATTTCAGGATTTAATTGACGCAAGATGATCTAAACCACAATGATGATTAAGATTTAAACTACAATGCATGAGAAAGATTTACACCACAATTCAGCTCGTAAATTACTCGTTAAATGTATATAATCTCCGCGTTTCAAGTTGCATGGCATGTAATGCATCGACATACATAACCAACCAGCCTCTTCTTCTCCTTCACAGGATCACACCAGCCGGAAAAAAAGAAAATATTTGTCCATCTACGATCTTCCATTTTCGAGAACGCAGACAAGACTGTCCTTAGAATCAAGGGCGTCCTTTAATACGAAAGAGCGTCCTTATTCCTTTGCCTTCACACGTCCTCTGCCACGATGCCCGCCCCAGCTGATAGCGGCCGCCGAAACGCCCTGCCCGTTCTCTACACAAGCGGCACCCATTACGACGTTGGATACGATATTGTAAGTTTGCTGTGTCGCTTCTCCAAGGTGTGTGTGTGTGTGTGTGTGTGTGTGTGTGTGTGTGTGTGTGTGTGTGTGTGTGTGTGTGAGGTGTGTGTGTGTGAGGTGTGTGTGTGTTCGTTCTTGGGAGGTGTGTGTGTGTGTGGGGGGGGGTGCTTGTGTTTGCGTGAGGGGTGGGTTGTGTTTTCATGTCTGTGGTGGTAGTGGGGGGGGGGTTGTGTTTGAGTGCGTAGGTCTGCCTGTCTTTCTACCAACCCACCATATATTAATCTAACTATTCATCTGTCATAGCAAATCTCCATTCTTCAATTTCTGTTTTATGAAAATGAGAACGTCAGGCAATAAGGCAGTCATCGCAGATCGTGACGACACATCCCTTTCCGTAAATAAAATACCCACTCCGTCATTTGACCCCTGTCATCGCACACTAAAACACACAATAAGACCTTATCATTACACATCATAATATAATTTACTAGAACCTTCCTGAAAGAACCAGAGAAAAAGATGACACATGTTCCATCAACAACCAATCCACGAAAACGAACAAGGGAAGCCATAGCCAACACGTAAACCTCGGGAACTCGATGACGCCTTATAAGGAAGTGACACGAAGTGCTGCTTTTAACTGCTGATTCAGACGTCACTTCATAAAGCGGAAGAATAGGCAAGATGAATGAGATGGTGAATATGAATGGAAATTAGCCAGTGGTTGAAATGAACAGTTTGAATGAGTATTATAAATAGTGTATGATGATGATATATAATATATATATATATTATATATATATATATATATATATATATATATATACATATATACATATGTGTGTGTGTGTGCGCGTGTGTGCGTGTGTGTGTGCGCGCGTGTGCGTGTGTTGTGTCATGTGTATATGCGTGTATATATGTGCATATATATTTGTGAGTGTGTGTGTATTTATTTATTTATAATTATTTACAGAAAATTAGAAAAGGCAAAGCGAAGCCCGCAGAATGAAGAATCTATACAATCTCTTCGATGCTCATTTTAGTCCCCTCCAACAGCCACATTGAACAAGCGGGAATTTTCCTCAATTATACATTTACTTCTATAAGTATAATCGCAGCTGAATAACGCAGTACTTGCTGCTGTTGTTAATAACATAGCCGTTATAATATTTCTACTGAACAGGAAAAAAATCGAAAATATATATATTATCAACGAGACAAATTTCTTACTAACCTTTTACAAATTTCTCCTCCTTCCTTTTGCCTCCCAAGACCTCCTGACGAAGAACTCTCCCTCTGTACTCCTTCAGGGTCGCACCTTCCGCGGCATCATCGAGGACTTCCTAGCATCCTTCAAGGAACTACACGACAGCCTCCTGCCGGCGTATGAGACAGCCGAGGGCAAGGCAGCCTACGACCAGACCCTCGCTGTCCTGCAGGAGAATTACCCGCAGTATGTGAGGGAGATCCAGGGCACGGCTGACGGCGCCAAGGTCCCCTTCCATCACGTAGGTTGTTCCTCAGGCGGTCGTTTTGCTGTCCGTTAATTCCGTTGATGAATTTGAAACACATTTCTCTGCAGGTTTCATTCTTCGATGTTGGTGTTCAAATCCTGTCTCAATATTTGTTTATATTCTTTTTTTAAGCTGTAAAAAAAGGGGGGATTCCAGTTAAAACCGGACCCGTTCCCTCCACAGCTGATGCTCCTGCACATGGACCAGATCGTGCCCATGAATTCAGGCCAAGCGCGCTCCTCTGGCACCAACGGCTGCTCCTCCATCTGCTCCAACAATGAGGGTCAGGTGGGACTCGAGCATCGTAACACTGTCCTTTTTTTAAAGAATTTCCAACAATGAGGGTCAGGTGGGACTCGAGCATTTCCAGTATGCGAAGGGAACAGGCTTGGCTAACAAAAGCTACCTGTAAGTAGGGGCCACAACCATGATTAGTAAATAGCGTATCAAATGTGGCAAAATAGTAGGGATATTACTTTTGCAATCTCTGGGACCTTCACTTAATTTTAAGGTTCTGCGGAAGTCCTCTGGAAGTTTAAGTTCGACTCAAAGAAAATAACTGGGAAGACCGTCAAATTGAATAAGCTGTACTTAAACACCGAAATTATCATTATCATCACTGTTTTGTTGTAATTGTTAACGTTACCAGGCGGGTATAAATAAACATGATAAAGCTAGATTCACACAGACAGCGAACAAACGCACTTTCTTCACTCTATGACCACAGCTCATCCCATTCCCAAACAGGGAAAGAAGTGTTATACAATTACATGCCTTTAGCCGAAGACCGCAAAGTTCTCATCACGAGGTGGGAACGAGCGGGGGTCAAATCCGCCTTGTGTGAGTCAGACTTATTGGCACCAGTTGTACACATGCATGCTCTGAAGCACGTAAGTTACTTTGTCAAGAACCTTGAACAATGATCTCAAGTTTCGATGAGTTGTTTGGGAAATATTGATGAAAATATAAGAGTGCAGATGGATCAGAGGGACCCGGCTGATGTTTATCGGGTGGCAGAGAGTCTGATCCTTCCTTTGGCGGCTTGAATAGTCTTATTTGATTATGCGGAACCTATTAGTCTTCTCATCCCTTATATCTTTTTACGTCAAGCTTATGTGGCGCTTCATACCTACGTACAGAACTGTCAGTAGTTTAAAGTACAGTATATTAAACCCAGAATACTTCAAATCCTGATAATGATGTCGATACTGATGGCAGTGATCAACACAATAATGAGAAAAATGACAAAAATAATGGTAGTGAAAGTAGTGATCACGATGGTGATGGTGATGGTGACATTGTGATTTTTTATGATTATGAAGATCTACACGCAATAAAGTGAAAAATCTCTGAAGTGACAAGTAGCACTTACATTCATAAAAAATACCCCCCCCCTCTCACTCTCCTACATACGCACACTCAATCTCTTGCCATTTCAAGCCACGTAAAATCTTCTGAGTGTCTATCCCGGTGTGGGAAAGGCTAGATCAGTAGCAACTCGAGGAGGTTGTGACGTCAGATTTTGATGACGTCACAAAAGTTGCGATTCTGTTTTCGGAAAAATGTATGAATGATTTCCAAGTGTGAGTCAAGCCAAAAGCCTATATTTTTTATTCAGCTTGAATGAAAGGTATTTTATTTAATGTGTCGGAAATCAGGCCAACAAGACTTTATGAAGTCAAAAACGCCTGAAAAGCCATTGAAACTTTAAATATTGTACAAAATGTAAAATGAACATGTGCTTTTCTAAAAATAGCCCGGACTGGTATCCTACACATTAAATAAAATACCTTTCATTCATTCACTGTGCCCATGGAGGTAATAATAAAAGTAGGTATACTTAATTCATTCAAGCTGAGTAAAAAAAAAAAAAAAAAAAAAAAAAAAAAAAAAAAAGGCTTTGGCTTGACTCCCACTGCGAGCAATTCCACTTGAGAATCATTCATGCATAAATATAATCTCCCACTCTTCTCATCCACAGTGCTATTTTGATGATTGTTCAATGAAAATATAACTTAAAATCATCATTTGTCATCCTCTTTGAAAACTGAAAAGACCAAAATGAGTTATAAACCCTATGTGCTTTTTCCAAAACCAGAATCGCAACTTTTGTGACGTCATAAAAATCTGACGTGATGACCTCCTCGAGTTGCTACTGATCTAACCTTTCCCGTTAAAGTAACCTGTAGAATAGTGATCCCCAGCCTCTTTACACTCAACCCCTCTCTCAAACCTCCGACACATCCCCCCTATATTATATTTAGGCTAAGAGAGAGAAAGAATAAATATAAATGTTTAATTGACCTAACTATAAAGCAACAACCCTTGTAGACATAACTTCACCGTACGTTCCTAACATGAACACGAACGAACGCCTAGCAATCGGCCTACATTTACTATTTACAATGGCTTCACGACTTTTTGCGAGTCGCCGGGAGGGAATCTGTTGTAGAATCAGATATTTCCCAGTCACTTTCCTTATCAATCAAACCTAGACACTGAAACTGCCATCAGATGTTTTGGGATATTTTTTTTCTTGGTTTAGCGTGATAAAGCATAATAACAAATATGAATAATTCACTTTTTTGGTGTTAATAGAGTCGCTTATGTTGGGGTTCTGTTCCAGTGAATGTTGACTCGTAATAATATCAACGTTGGATGTGGATTGCAAATTGGTTGATACCATAAATAGTGCAGGTGTTTAACACATGTGAAGTCGTGGGCTGATTAACTTACCCAAGGTTGCTGCATTAATCTCCAGCTCTCATATATTCTTACTAGATACGGTATTTCACTTATATCTAACACTGGATATGAAAATGCGAGTGTCTAAAGCTGCTAGTTGTAAATTAATATATAATTATAGAAAAATTACAACAAAACTTTTTTTTCATTAAATATGTAATATAATTACATCACTCGGCTATTTTGAAATTAAAATTGAATAAGATCAAGTATAATATATATTGGTGGTTCTAGGAGATATTGAAGAGTGGGTTTCTTGGTAATGGGCATAGATAAAGGTAAAATAAACGTGCAACGTCTGAGACTTTAACATAATTATGGTTTGAGAAAGCTGTGTGTGTGTGAGAGAGAGAGAGAATGAGTGAGTGAGTTAGTTAGTGTGTGTGTGTGTGTGTGTGTGTGTGTGTGTGTGTGTGTGTGTGTGTGTGTGTGTGTGTGTGTGTGTGTGTGTGTGTGTGTGTGTGTGAGAGAGAGAGAGAGTGAGTGAGTTTGTGTGTGAGTTGTGTGTGTGTGTGTGTGTGTGTGGTGTGTGTGTTGTGTGTGTTGTGTGTGTGTGTGTGTGTGTGTGTTGTGTGTGTGTGAGTGAGTGGTGTGTGTGTGTGTGTGTGTGTGTGTGTGTGTGTGTGTGTGTGTGTGTGTGTGTGTGTGTGTGTGTGGTGTGTGTGTGTGTGTGTGTGTGTGTGTGGTGTGTGTGTGTGTGTGCGCGCGCGGCGCTCTCCCGGGTCGATGTATAGGCATTGCTCCTTGAAATATACGACTAATATGCGTACCATTTTACCCATACCAATATTTCCTTCATTCAGAAGTCGAAAGCAAATCATTCGAAAGGAGTTGCAGTAACTAATCCTCGCTTTCCACCATCCCGCCTTCCGCCGCAGGTCCTTCTCGGCCACACGGAAGACGCCCTTCCGGAGACCCTGAACCACGCCTACTTGGTAAGCGCCCACATCAAGGAGGAAGAACCGCAGGGCAAGAACGGCACGAAGACAGAGGGCTTCACGGCGCTGTGTTATGCAGGGCATCTCCCGGGCTTCTGCATGGGGTACAATCACCACGGTCTTGTTTATTCTATTAATGTCATTAGCCCCAAGAAGGTTTTGGCGGGAAAAACACGTAAGTTGAATTTCGGTGATTTTATTTATGTATCATTATTTTAAGATGGTGCTTCTCAGTGTTCTACAAGATGTCCACAGAAAATAGCAGTTGATACATCGAGGTCTATTCGCTTTCCCGCCGGCAATAACTTCTCTGTCCACCAGCCCGCCATTTCTTGTGTCGAGCTCTCCTGGCTGCCGAGACGATGATGCAAGCTCAGCAAATCCTGCGCGACCGAGGGACGGGTTCTGCCGACGGCTTCAGCGTCAACATGAGTTTCACGAGGCAAGAGGGCGACCACCTGTTCCATAACGCCGAAGTGGGACCTGCAGAGGAAGGGGACGAGAGCCCCATGTCTATCCTCACCATAAGCCCAGGGGAGCATCTGCTGCATACGAACAAGTGAGCAATCTCTCTATCTTTATATATATATCTATCTATCTCTCTCTCTCTATCTTCCTTCTTCTTTATGGATTCGGATATTCTCTGGACGCGAATTATTTGCATACACCTATCCGGACATGCGTATCGTACCCTAAACCCTCCTCTCCCTTCGTCAGGTATCTTCGCCTGGAGGTACCCGAAGACGAGGGGCTTTGTATGGAGAGCAGCAACCACCGACATACCCGCGCCCATAGCTGCTGCCCGCCCACAACACGCTCCGCTTTGCTGGCCCTGCTCTCCGACACCGAGGACGCCACCTACCCCTTCTTCAGGGAGGGCGGGGACCCTGACTTCGTTAAGACCATCACGCTCGGTAGGTGTCAAGCTTGCTCGATGTCTGAAGTCCAAGCGTCTTTGATAGAGTTTCTGATCGTAACAGCCTTCCACTGGCATTGATACAGATGGTATTTGTAACGGTATTAAGCATAAGTGATGCCAGAAATATAAGGTATAAAAAACATAAAAAGAAAATATTGATAAATGATATTTGTGGATTATATTACATTATACGGCACTGAGCCATTAAAATGTACGATTCACCCACCATAATATATCAGGGATTGTACTAACTTGTTATGGCAATCTTACAGGTGTGTTCGACTTGGAGGAGAAGACGTGGACGCTGTGGATGAAGAACCCCCGCTCCGCCGACCCGCTCGTCACGCTCCCTCTCGTCTTCAAATGGTCCAATTAACTCTCCCTTCCCCTGACAGCTTCTCCCCCTTGGGCCGAGTTCCGAGTCTCGAGGCTTTTCGACCTTTGAGTCGCGGGTCGCTTCCTCTCCTTCACCCGTATCAGTGTGCGGGTGGACTACTTTCCCCCTCCGAAAGTTGCTTCAGGTCGAAATTCGCTTGCCATGTCTCCAGGTCTACTTGCTGCACATGTCAGGTTCTGTTGAAATGGCATTTTATATGACTATTTTATTTTTAAACCGGAGGTTTATTGCTGTCCCTCCTTTAGGCTGAAAAGACGTTACTGAATCAAAACTTAAAGTTGAACTTCTGACTCTCCACCGGCCAAAGACCTTGACCCAGACTGATTGGATCAGGGTTTTATATATATATATATATATATATATATATATATATATATATATATATATATATATATATATATTACAATAATGTCGCAAGATTCACTACGAATACATAGACAGGACAAGATACAAGCCTTACCTGTGGGTGGCTCTGCACTTGCCTGCATATCCTCCCACACCACAGTTGTAACTCGGCGACTGGACTGGATGAATTATTCCTTAGCGGGGCGAAGGGGAGGACGAGATTGGAACAGTCCTTTTCTTGTCAGGGTCAGGGGTCGACGTCCCTCCTGTGCTCTGTTATATTCCATGCCATACTGTAACCTTTAGTTTGCTTAGTGTTCTGAAGAATGACGGTTAGTTCCTTGTTCTGTACATCAATGTTCAGTGTCCAGTGGTAATTGTAGATGTTTAGTCTAAATAGATTTAAACTCTAGTTTTACTGTGTAAGTAATGTGTTTGGTTTAACGATATTTGTAAAGAATGAATGCATGAATCACATCATTTCGCTCTCATTTTCATTTTCTGTTCACTATAAATAACTTAAATCACAGCAATACTGACCTTTTACTGTCATCAACAATCAAAGAAAACGTCTACCTTGTTTCAGCGTTTTGCAATACCCAAACAACCCAAAGTAATTAAATGTGTGAGTAATATTGCAGTGCTGAATGTGATAGAGAAATATTCAAGAGTGTTGTTATGATACACGTTGATACTGAACGTACTGCCAAAATAAAGCTTATTCTTATCTCTACGTACTTTTCACGCCTTGTTCTACCATCGATTATATACACAAGACGTGTAAAGATAGTAAAGGTAGGATAACAAGATTACACGGGACTCACTCTTTTACTCTTACTCACTCACTCACGCCCTCTCTCCCTCTCCCTCCCCCCCCCCTCTCTCTCTCTCTCTCTCTCTCTCTCTCTCTCCTCTCTCTCTCTACACACACACACACACAACACACAACACACACAGTGAGAGAGAGAGAGGAGAGAGAGAGAGAGAGAGAGAGAGAGAGAGAGAGAGAGAGCGAGAGAGAGAGAGAGAGAGAGAGAGAGAGAGAGAGAGAGCAGTGACGTCGGGTGCTGTTTCAAACATTCTGTTCCTGTTCTACCATGCTGTTACCTGATTCTATATGTGCGCTTCTGCAATACACATTATAAAGATGTGAAAGCTTCTAGTCATATGATGAAATAGATGTTAAACAGTCTAGAAGGAAAATAAAAACTCGAGACAGCCTCGAAGCTTCAGATCAAAAGGTGAAATGAACGTCAGAGAGTTTTGAAGCTTTAGATCAAAAGGTCAAATAAACGTCAAAATGTCTACATGTTTCAGAGCAAATGATGAAAAACTGCAGAGAGTTTAGAACTTTCAGATCAAAATATGAAATGGATATCAACGTCCAGAAGCATCAGACTTCAGATGGAATGGACATTGGAGAGTTAAAAAAAAAAAAAAAAAAAAAAAAAAAAAAAAAAAGTTAAAAAGCTTCTAATCTACATTAAAGTCGCTGGTGCTCCTGTAACCAGAATCATCGGAGAAAAGGTAGGATGATAATTGATATCACCACAGTACCAGAGATGTATTTGACTGGTATCAATTATATCTTCGTAAGAAATGTATTTTTACAATAATACCCTAAATGGGTCAAACACATATCTTGCACAGTCAAGATATTCATTTTCATTCATACCTATATTTGTTGCAATGAACACAGTTTAACCACTTATTCTGGAGCATAATGCAAGTGCAATAGCTTTTACTTTGCCCGAGAATAAAATATAAGCAATGGGTATTAGGCACAACACCAAATACAAATTACTGTGTGATTGTGAGAGATCATTTGGTCCAATGAAAAAAAAAAACATACAAATCATTAGAAACTTGAAGTTTCAGACTTCAGATGACAAATGGGGACGATTTAGATAATTAGAAAATCTAACATCAACCTGGCCATATATACAAAGGTAGATGTATGTTGCCTGTTAATCAAAGCTGCTGATAGGGCAAATTATAAAATTCAGGCATTGACCGAGAGAAAAATATATTGAAAGATTAAAAGAAAAAATATATGTATGTTTACGTAGGCCATGCTCTCTGGTTATGAATAAGTATTATTGTTTTTAGTTTTTGGCTATTAGTGATTTGCTACCAATATCGATGTCCAATATATATTTATTCTATAATTAATGCATTCATAGTGAACTTGCCAAAATGACATTCTTTATTAACAGCAACCAAAGTTGAGCTTTGTATCACAAAAAGTTATGAAAATATCATATGCTTGTGTTTAAGATTATTATATTGTTTTCCGTAAAAAAATTAAATGTTAAAAAGAAAATTTAATTAGTAATTTTGGCCAAATCACCCCTCTACCTCCACAGCACTTTCATTTTTCCAGGAATCATAAGCTGGCCAAAGATGTTCAAGCATATCATGTTTTTGATAAATAAATTTGTGTAATTTTTATACAGTTCCTCGTTATATAAATGCAAAATGTTTTGTTGGCTTTTAGTGACTCTACTATTGCCTTCCTTTTGGGAATTAAAACAACATCATAGGTATCATGTATACATTTTTATTATAATCACAATTTATGCTATTTATATGGATATCTACATGTAATCTTAATTTGAATCATTATTTCATAATTAATAAACAATCACTCTTTATAACATATCTACCCATACAGTTAGCGTTGCAAATTACCATTTACAATAATATAATCTCTCGCCAATTGGCAAAAAACTTGTAATGTTTGATATTAAAATGATAAGACAGGTTGGCTCCCTGACACAGCGTCCTGTACTTGAGGCAGCTCAATAACAACCCTCTCAGAGTGAGTTCAGTATTAGATGTAAACAATATAATGGAAACTGGGGTAATGTTTGAATTCTGTGAGAATTACTTTCCAATACTATAAATCTAAAAATTATATAC